CTACAACTGATATATGAATTCTATAAAAGGAAATAATTTTTATGCACGTGATCAGAATATCTTACCTGGGGGTGGGGAGGTGGATGCTTATAATTAAATGATATTAGGTAATATATATCACTGCCCTTATCAATCATCAAATTGCAAAAGCAATATAAGCAAAATATTTATCTCGTCTCAGTATACAAAACAAAATAAAACAAAATATTTTATTATCATTTACAAAAGGTACTGTGTTAAAATTAAGAGATAGGACAAAACTCACGATTGTTTAACCAGTTTGACTGACCGGTCCCAAAAAATATTTTAATTACTTTCAACTGAAATATAATTTATTTTTTGTACTATATAATCTAGATGATCGCCTGTGAAATATATTACTATAGACGCTATGCATAATTTATCTATTCTGGGTTAGATCTTTTAATCTATTTTAATAAAGTATTTTTCAAAAAGTTTAGAAAAATCAATGAAACAATCTTGAGAATTCTTGATTGTGAGACAATATAACTATCCGGTTTGAGAATTTCTATGCAACAGTTATCCAGCAAGCTTATAGGAATTACAAGAAAAGACCTAAATCTTTGGCAAAATGAGTTTGAAAGATGATGAAAAATGATGGTACTTCTGATGATATGAAGTTTTTAGGTATAAAAAATAAATCAGAATAATCAGAATATATTTGTTATGAGGATGAAGAACGTTGTTATTCAGTAAGAAATGATTGGATGTATGAGAAGAGAACCTAATTATGGTAACGATTATCTTTTATAACATACATACTTGTTAAGAAATTATTATATCAGCAAGACTATATAGTTATTAAAGATACATATTGGCTTGATATGTTAAAATGACTACAGAATCCTGGGTATTAAAGTATTCATAAAAAGTATAATTTTGTATACTTCATCAGAATTTTAAAATATGATGCATATAAGATTAAGTCATCAGAAATAAAACTTATATGCGATTCGCTATTAAAATACATATATTATATTTACGGAAAGTCAGAGAAAAATATTACTGTGAATTTCACAGACTTAGATGATAATTGTGAGTTTGTATACTGAATTTTCCAGATCAGATCTTGACCCAGATTCTGAATATTATTTTAATAAAATAATATATTGTCTGGCCATGCGAAGTGTCTTAAAGCTAATGTATGTATATATATAGAATATAAATTAGCACATTTTTGATCTTTATTAAAGTATATATGATGTAATAGGTGATATACTGCCTAAATTAGCTATAACTCTGTGTGATTGCTTGTATAATAAATTAATTTTCACACATAAGAAATCAATCCCAAAAAATATTTTGAATTTTTTTTCTATCTACCTGAATAGCATTTATTTATGAGTTTATTTTCTCTAATGCTAAAGTTTATTTCTACTAGATTTCAACTGAAGTGTATTTGTATAATGCTACTAGGCCTTCATTATTGAGCACTAAGCAAGTAAAATAAAAAAAAAAGTATATGCATTGTCTTCAACGCCTTTGTAAATGTCAAGATCTTTAATGCACATTCTGTATGTCTTATTTTCTAACACAAATTTTGGTGTAAACTGCCTTACATATTCTCCTTTCTCTTCTCCCTAATATGAATATAGGTTCAAAGAGACATGAAATGAAATCATTTAAAAAGGTAAGTATATGAAATTTTTAGTTTAGATCGCTTATTCTATATTAATAATACTAAACTATATCTTCTGAACTATATTGAAAATTTACAATTTTTTAGTAACTGCTAAGCAAGAACACATTACTACTACCTCAGTTATCTATCAAGAAATAGAGGGGATCTATAGATTCTGAAAGAAGTGTTAAGAGGAATGGTTCATCAAGCAATTTCATCAGCAATGAATCTTTATACCCAAGGTTCAGAACATCAACAAAAATTTCTTGAAATACCTCTTCAGGTAAGTCCTTATTAAATGAACCTAAAAAAATATTCATTAGATAGAATGATGATTTATCGTAGCTTTAGTACTTCCTAAATAGTGAGCATAATAGTTTAGACATTCTAATAGCCTGCAATTAAGGGATAACTATTTCCCTCAAATGCATGGGGTGAATATACTGTAGCATTATGCTTTATCCACATGTAGTTATTATTGTATTATACAAAAGTTATCATCAACACGAGAGCCTTATGAAAACAATAATTTTTACTATGACAGCTGACGGCATACATGTTAATTTTGAAAAGGTGATTTTGTTTATGAAAATAATAATTCAATCTATCATTACTATAGTTTGATGTGTTCTTTGAAAATGTCTGTAGCTTACAGAATATCAGAGTTATGAAAACAAATAAAGAGAAACCTCTTACTTCAAAATAAATTGACGCAAACTTGAATAATATAAGATTGAAACTTTCAGTAAGTATTTGCAGATAATGTTTTCAGGATTAAATTCTTTATTAACTGGTTATTCTATTATAGAGGAAACAATCCTCACTTTCTAATGAATTAATACTTGGATTGAAATCGATTACTGCTTCTAACTTTTCATGGAGAGACCCACTTGCTAGTAGAGTTATTAGTGACAATTCAGGCCTAATTTGAAACCTTTCACAGAAAATACAAAATACTTTTTTAGTAAATACTTTATAATTTTTGAGAATTATAGCAATCAAGTTTCTAATTCAGCTTTCTTTACAAGAAACTGTCGTGTTGAATAATACCTCTAAATTTAGCAATAATTCTAGAAATATGTAGAAGATTTATAGCAAACTTCAATGAATATCAAATGGAAAGTTTACCTGATAAACTAAAGCATGATAGTTCTTAGAAAAAGTCAGTAGAGATACTTGCTAGAATTGCAACTAATATTCTTGATACATTGTAAGTAATAATAAGAAAAAATATTACTATGTGTATATTACTGATTCATTATTAATAGGAGCGATATCTGGAACAATCTGGCATTTGGATCAGATTTTGAAGATTCGCTTAATGAAGGCACTTATGTGACAAATGTGATAATACCAGTAATCTGATCCACTTTGAAAAATCTTCCTTTTAGGAAGACTGTATTCATTAGTACATCAGAATAACAAAATCTCACCAGTGCTGATAGAAAAAGCAATGGTCAAATGGAAAGATTATCAGACATGATGTTTGAGTTTAAATACAATGGGAAAATTTATGAACTTATGTTTGTCAAACTCTTATAGTTATTTTGTATTAAACGAAAAAAATTGGATAATATGATAAAATTATGATAAGAGACTAATGATGGATTATACTAGACTCAAAAAGGATGTAAACTAGAAAAGAAGCAATTTGGGATCATTAGAATCCAGGTTGCTAGTAAAATAATTTCTTTATATTTTTCATGATCCATATTTCATGAGATTTTTTAATAATACAGAACTTTGTAGGATGGAAAATACATTTAAATGTTATCACAAGAGGTGAGGATGAGATACATTATTATTATCATTTACACTCAGTTGAGATACCTGTACGCCCTATGGGAGAATATGACTAGGCAAATTTTGTAAAAACTTTGCTTATTTTACGGATTTGTTATTCACACTGGCTATAAATATTCTTTTAGCCAGATAAATATTATCTAATGCGATTCTGATTTTTAGAATATTATTATTGTCAACATGTCTTTACTATACCATGCATCTTCATCAATATCACGCAGACAAATAGAAGATAGCTTAACTATTTCATCCCATAAAGAGAATCATGTGTATTTTTTAACTATTCTCAGGCTAAGACCTGATTTTATTTATTATGTATTTTAGCAATTTAGTATAAAAATTTTATGTATTCAGGTTACGTCCAATATATATTTATTTTTTATCTCTATCAATAAAGTTTTTCTGAGACTGTGCAGTCTTAGAAATTGCAGTCACATGATTTTTTGCAAAGCACCTTAATGGCTATTTTTGAATATTAACATACTAATACTACATTACGTAAGTATGCAATCTAAAATAAATGGTCCTGGTGAGACTGATTCGTTGAAATAATGTATTAATGAACTTAAGGCTGAGAACAATAAAATTAGGACTAAGAATGTTGAGCTTAAGGCTAAAGTTGCGAAATTTGAAGACAAGCAATCGCAAAATGAATTAATAAAAAACTTGTTATCTGTATCATGAAAAACATGACCATGTATTAATTT